GTGATGTGCAGTGGGTTGCTCCACGGGAGTGTATGCATATGCTTCTTATTAGGCTTGACGGGTTTGGGAGTACCAAGAAAGCCAAAACAATGTGGATAGGCATTGTTTTTGCTATTTTCTGGGTTATATGGTTGGAGAGAAATGCTCGAATCTTTGAAGGCGAGGAAGTAACTAGAGAGGCTTTGTGGGATAGGGCAGAATATTTGGCCTCATTTTGGGCATTTGTATCTCCTCCTTTTAAAGGAGTCCCTTTGTTTTTGACCTCTAGGGATTGGGCTGATGTTTGCTATCCTTAGAGTTGCGAGTTTTGCAATTTTGTTTTGCTTTTTCTTCTTCTCTTTTTCTTTCTTTATATGAGGACTTCTTATCCTCTTTCTCTTTCCCGTTTTAATAAAATTTTGTTGTTACTCAAAAAAAAAATAAAGAAAAAACAGAGGCAGGCCCAACGAAGAGAACCCATCAAAGAAGAGAAGAAGAAAATAAGAAAATAAGAGAAAAAAAATAAAGGAAGAAAAAACAGAAACAGAGAGATAACTCGACCAAGAGAACTCATCGAAGAAGAGAAAAATAGAAGAGAACTTGCAAAGAAGAGAAGAGGAGAACCAGCAACGAAGAAGAGAAGAGAAGAAGAAGCCAAAGTCGTGTCATCTTCTCACTTTCTGATCGCCTTTTTTAATCTTCTCCACCTAAGTTTTTTTTTTTTTTAAAACACTTTTTGCTCTCATTTGATCACGTTTCGTCATTTTATATTGAAGAGTTTTGATTCCCCGTTGCTATACCCACAAAAAAAACATTTGATCAACAGTTGAAGTAGAAAAATAGGTAAAGCCCACGAAACCCACGCCTCACACTTCGAAAAATAAACGCTCACCTCAGCACCTAAGCTGTACCTTGCATATTGCACCTCGCCTCGACTTGTTCTAAACGCAAGGCTGCGCCTTGTTGCGCCTTGCGCTTAGGCAGACACCTAAGTGCACCCGCGCACATTTTGAAACACTGCTTTATTCAAAGTAAATAGTTTAGCAAAAAGAGGCACTGGGGGGTGCAACCCCGTGTAATGAGGCTCCTTAGCAAAACTTATTTGTGTCTTTAAAAAAGCTACCTTAAAATAAACAAATCTCAAACTGCTTAAAAAATTTCAGCATTTTTAGATAAAAACCTCAAAGTTTTACCAAACAAAAGCAGCTCCAATGGTCTGCTATTGGAGCTGCCATTGCAATAGTTTAGCAGACTGCCCAAAAAACAGAGCTCCAATGGTCTGCCAATGGAGCTGATAAGATATAGCAGTGCCATCTATTTGGTAGATTGCTAAAACTGCCAGATCATCAACCACCACCTGAAAACAGTCCCATTCCCTTCCACTCATCATCTTCCCGACAAAACCACCAACAAATACATGAGATGAACTTTAACACCCCACCCCCCCCAAAAAAAAAAAAAAAAAAAAGAAACAAGAAACAGAATGAAGGTGGAATGGGACGGGATCGAGAACAGGACAAAAAGAGAAACAGAGGGATTGGGATGTCAGATTTGAGGGAAGACATTGGGAATGGGACGGGAAGTAGGAAAAGAATGAAGGTGGTGGGGTGTCAGCATGGTTGTTAAAATCGGGATCCTACATAGGATAGAGGGTCTCGTGGATTGGATCAAGGATCGTAGGATTCTACTTTTATAAAAAATAAGGTAAAAATGCAAATAAGGATGATGCATACTAGACTAAGGTAAAAAAATCACAAACCCAGCAATTCTACTTGAGATCCTATCTATGAGATCTCACACAATCCTGCTATGACATCAACTCTACAACAATTTGAATCGTTTTGGCAATTCACGATTGTAGGATCGCAATTTTGATACCCATGGGTGTCAGATCTTCTTTTCTTCTTTTTTTATTTGTATTGATGGATGGGATTAAGTGAACAAAGAAAGAGTCCAAATTCTCTCAGTTCTTAAGTTAAACAGTCCAATTGTGCCATCAATAGCTAATTGCAACAGCTCTCCTCATGCAGTGTGTAACGGTCCAAATGCAACAGCTCTTTTTTATTTGCTCCAACAGTGCCCTATAAATTCTTTGTATTTTTCTCATTTCAAGTTTGAAATATTGTTTTCCAACAGCTAATTTTTTATTTGCTCCAACAGTGCCCCAATAAATTCTTTGTATATTACTCATTTCAAGTGTGAAATATTTTGCTATATTTTTCCATATAACAAAATTATGGACGATGGAACAAAAATAAAGAAGGATACCATGGTCAGGATTAGATTAGGGGTCTCGGATGTGGAAGATTGTTTCGATTTGCTGCATGTTGGATCTTCAAATCTTTAACAATCTACACTCTTCTTCATTCTGTTCTGATGGCAAAACCCTAGTTTTAGGTGAAAAGACACAGCCTCTCTTCTTAGGCTCTCTCCCTCTCACATTTAACGACTTCATGCAACTCTCCACTAAACAGCAGTTCTAAATACTTCTATGTACTTAAACCATGATCCAAGTTTTATTACCACAATATGAATCGGACAATAGTAATATTCGAACCTATCATATCTTTATTTACTACACTAGCCCACTTGAATCTTAAGGATTTAGGATAAGTAAAACAAATACAAAGCATATGGAGTGTAATTTTAGCAACAATAATAATGGAAACAGAGGAAAAGTGAATATTGAGAATCAATAACTATCTAAGAGTGAACATTTTCGTTATTTAGGATCGATTATCACAACGGTTAGGCAAATTGGAGAAGATGTGATCCATAGAATGAAGACGGAATGACTTAAGTGGAGAAGCGCGTCTCGGGTACTGTGCGATAGACGAATACTCACTAAACTAAAAGGAAAGTTCTATAGAATGGCCATTAGACCAACGATGTTGTATGGGACAGAATATTGGGCAACTAAGAAACAACATGCAAATAAGATGAGTGTTGCTGAGATGAGGATGCTAAGGTGGATGTGTGGCAATACTAGAAAAGACAGTTAAAAATGAGTCTACTCGTGAATGGGTAGGAGTAGCACCGATAAAAGATAAGCTGAGAGAAAATTACAACAGAGACCAACAAAGATAATAGTGAAGAGATGCGATACAATGGCTATTGGCACATAAATTTCAACTAATTTATGTTAAAATTTCAAATACGGTCAATCAATCAATGACACATATAGAGCTTATGATAAGAATGTTGTAGGTAATCACTTCCTAAATAAAACGATATCGTATCTCAGCGACGTTATTCAAGATACTCAAGTGACACGTGGAGCCTACGAAAGATGGCATCTATAGAGCCTAGATGAAACCCAAAGATGAATCCAATTAATCAGACATACGATTAATCATATAGCGCTATCATTCAAAATTCTAATGGCACTATCATTTAATTTGAAATTCAAATCGAGGGTGAGGCATTCTTATCACCTGGATGGCCCTCTATAAATATGAGGACCATCACACAAGATCGAGGATCAGAAAAATCAGAAGTGAGAAGATTGGAGAGAGAGAGAGAGAGGGAGAAATCAAGAGCTAAAGAAGTCGTTACAAGAAAGAAGAAAAGAAACACAGAAAACTCAAGAACCTACGCTACAAACGCAGAATGGCGATGAATAGATAAAGGGTTCCAAACCCAAGAATTGTACTTTGTATTTAAGGGTTCAAAACCCATAACAATTTCAATAAAATATTTATTTTTCTTAAATTGTCTTCTGTTATTTATTTTATTCTTCATTAATCAGAAGTTTCATTTATATAAAATGTGTAATTAACAATCTGGAATACAGATCGGAAATAGGAACCTGCTATTCAAATAATCAACGTTGTTTAGTCCAAAAACTAAACAGTGAACATTTGTAACATAAAATTTTGAAATGCGTTAAACATAAATGGCAAGTTCTTGAGTTCTCTGGGCTAAACAAATGTCCACTGTTTAGTTTTTGTTACAAATATCCACTGTTTAGTTTTTGGACTAAACAGCATTGATTATTTGAATAGTAGGTTCCTATTTCCGATCTGTATTCCAGATCGTTAATTACACATTTTATATAAATGAAACCTCCGAATAATGAAGAACAAAATAAATAACAGAAGACAATTTAAGAAAAATAAATATTTTATTGAAATTGTTATGGGTTTTGAACCCTTAAATACAAAGTACAAGTCTTGGGTTTGGAACCTTTTACCTATTCATCTTCATTCTGTGTTTGTAGAGTAGGCTCTTGAGTTCTCTGGGCTACTTTTCTTTTTTCTTGTAACGACTTCTTCAACTCTTGATTTTTTTCTCTCTCTCTCTCCACAATCTTCTCACTTCTGATTTTTTCGATCCCCGATCTTGTGTGATGGCCCTAATTTATAGAGGGTCATCCAAGTGATAAGAATGCCTCGCCCTTAATTTGATTTTCAAATTGAATAATAACGCCATTTGAATTTTGAATGATAGCGCTATATGATTAATCGTATATCTGGTTAATCGGATTAATCTTTGGGGTTTCATCCTGTGTGGTGTCCTTGTTGTGTAGGCTCTACAGGTGTCATCTTTTGTAGACTCCACAAGTCACTTGAGTATCTTGAATAACGTCACTGAGATATGACATCGTTTTATTTAGGAAGTGATTACCTATAATATTCCTATCGTAGACTCTATACATGTCATTGACTGATTGACCGTATTTTAAATTTTAACATAAATTTGTTGAAATTTATGTGCCAACAGTGACGTTAAATGGAAGTGTTAGGAAAAGGGCCAGACCTAGATTAACATGCGCTAGTGTAGTAAATAGAGATAAAAATCTCCTTATTTTGACTAACCCAATGCCTTTTGATAGAGTCGAGTGGAGAAGAAAAATTCATGTAACCGACCCCATTTGATGGGAACTGAACGCTTGGTTTGGTTTGGTTGGGTTAGGTTAGGTTTTATAAATGTATAAAAATTAAAAATACATCATTTAAAGAAACCAAATTGATTTAATACAACTTTGACTAAATCCAAAGGTAAAGGATGAGGAAAACCACCTTTCATCAACATGAGGCCGCTTGCTCCCTTTCTTCTCATGAGCAACTCCATTGATCTGAAATCAAAAATAAAAATATAACTGATGTTACAATACAAAAAGACAAAATTAAAAGAAAAAATAGAGAGAGAAGAATACGCAATGAGAATATACAAACAAAGAGCTCTTACCATGCCCTCTTTCCACATAATTGATGTCGCAGTAATTTTTGTTGTTCCTTCATCAAGGAATGTAAAAGTCTTCGTGAGCTTTGTGTCTTCAAAGTAGGGATTGGCTTTGAAATTCTGATGAATATAAGAAAAAATACATAAAAACTGTTATGTAAACCTGTAATTGAAACATAGAACCAACCAGCACACCAACCACAGGTCATCAATGCAACAAAAGAAATTTAAAAAAGCACCAAAAATTCCTTTCAAAACTTAAGCAAGGGAGAGGAAAAACACTTACAAAAGTAATAGAGTATCCCGACTTCACATCCTTAAAATCCTCCACTTCAAGGGAATCTAGATGCTTAAATATCTAGTAACAAAGAATTCCCTAGTCAACTCAAATTGCTAGACAATTTAGCATTTAAATGTCGTAAACGAACAGTGATATTATATAAAACTTCAAAAGAATCATCTTATCAAGCCTCATTAATTCAAAGAGCATAAGCCAAATTCTTGAGTAGTAATACAGTACAAAAAAGTAAAAATTGGAAGCCTTGTCAAATTTATGAGTGATTTGAACAAGAACCAAACCTTTTGGTCTTCTTCAGTCAAAAGGTCACCAAGAGCAGGATGGCTCAAGAACTGCATATAAAAGGGGATTAGTCAATCAAATCAAAGGGATACACAAAGGAATCTAAGAAATTACAACCGCAGGTAAGTTACACATTTTGCGAACGAACAGATGGCATAGATCACTAACCGCAGTTAACCAGAAGTCAGGAATCGATTTAATAATATCATTCCGTTTGTCATAGGCAGGCTTGCGTATCTCATTGTACTTCTGCTCAACTTCCAAGACCTTATCACTAGCCTCTTCATTGATCTGAAATCAAAAACAAACAAACAAAAACAAAAAAAGAGACAAAAGAACACAGTTAGGTCAATTACACTGTTCACACTATAAAGCCAATCTACTACACAACTTACCAACATAAATAAAAATACATGTAACATGTCCTTCTTGGGCCTTTGCATTAATCATGGCTCACTTATTATGAATGATACATTACTAATACTTCCCAGATACTCATGACATGTATCCAAAACGTCTTTGATGGATCCAACAAATGAAAAAATAAAAATTTAAATTTAAGCACGATTATGGTACTTGTCAAATATAGGTAGACATGTCTGGCATTCCTAATATTGAGATGTGACCTTTACAAGATAAAACTACATTATCATCTTAGGAAGAAAACACAAAAAAGGTTCAAGCGCTCCAACCGTTCTTGCACTTCGGAAGTCTGAGACTTTTAAAGAATCAAAGCAAATAAAATGTGCCAAAAAACCATGAAACTTGAAAGGAAATGCTTCCCCAAGCTACATTATCACACAACATCTTTGGGCTAAGATTCATAGAGAGTTTACCCCTCACTCTCTACACTAGACATGGGCCCAAAACACGCTGCTTTTTCAGCTCTTTTTGTTTCAAAAAGGATTAACTAGAAAGGAGAATGTAGTGCAGGAATTGTTGTTGAAGAGGCGAAAAAATAGGCTAAACAAACGTAACAACAAAAAATCATGATCTAGTCCTACTCCCCAGGCCATGTCTATTGAACACGCAGCTATGTTTGTCATATTGGTCTATCTATCCCTACCAGTCTTTTTTCCATTCCCCATAAGGAATTAACATTCTTCAGAGCTTGGTGATTATTTTTCAAGTCTACATATTACACAAGTGGCTTGACAAAATATTACATTACACTTCATTTCTTTTCTCTATTCTTTTTTCAAGGAAATTGCTTCCCAAGAATATATCAGCTATTAGTGTTACCCAATTGATAGATGAAAAATAGATGTTAAACGTTATCAAGCAATAATTACACATGGAAAAAGCTCATACTTATATGTAACGAATCCAAATTTTAGGCAGCAAAATTTTTATGGCAAGACTAAAGTAAAAACTATGGAGAGACACTACAAGGAAGCCAGGCACATTCAATGATTTTAACTTCTAAGGCAAGAATTCACCCACCTCCTTTTCAAGTTGCTTCTTGTAAATACATATGTGGCTAATTAACATAAGCAAACATAAGAGCACCAGCAATGGACAAGTTAGTCCACCCATTTGTGTCAGATGCTAAAATTCAAGCCAGCCATTTTCACTTTTGTCTTCACAATGGAACTGCTAGGAGGTGTTAAAGTGTACACTAACATTGTCGATGTCAGCTGTTAGTGTACACTATAACTGTGGCCATCCAACTACAAAAAGTGAATCTTATTGTACTTTTTATAATTTTTTATTTATATATATTTTAATACATAACTTTTATCTAACACACACCTTAACATTTCCCTTGCAACACCACACACTCACTAAACTAACAAACCTTGACACACAAAAAGGAGTCCCACTTTGTCACTTTTAGCCATATAACACAATTTAACACACACTTCCACGCATACTTTTGTATGTCTATGTACATATAAATGCATATATATATATATATATATATTCAACTATAAATATACATACAAACAAATGCAAGGCACATACAGATGCAAACACTTTTTAACTTCTCAAAATTATCATAAACACACTAACAAGAATATCTGACTGTAATGTTCTTTGTGCAAGCTAAGATTGGTAAAACAAAGACCTTCACATGGTAATAAAAGTAAACAAACAAATTAACAACATCATTTACCAAAAAAGAAGAGTTTTCACAAAATAATTGCATATTCATGAAAAAGCTTAAGACTTTAATTATTAAAATTTATAAAGTTTACCAACCACTGATTTGAAAAAAAATTTAGAAATTCAACTGAATTGAATTTTCTCCAAAAAGCAGAGCACCATAAAAACCTATATGCTGAACATAAACAAAGCAATGCTCAGAACTTATAAAAAATAAAGCTTCATTTTTATTTTTATTTTTATTTTTTTTGGCTGGAAAAAAATAAAAAATAAAAAAAACTTCTTTTTACAAAATAAAACTCATTTGATTGCTGAAACAAAAGCAAATTAACAGAGAAATTCGGATTTTAAATTATTTTTACTATATTGTCATGACATTTTTCTCTTGTTTTCTCGGAAACCAAACAAGAGAGGGGGGGAGAGAGACAGAGAGAGGAAGAAAGAACTATACTTTCTCCAGCTCGTCTTGCATCTCCTGCAATTTCTCGATGGAGAGAACGAGGTCTCCATCAATGTGCTCCACATTTTCCTCTTCGCCTTTCTCTCCAACCTTCAATTTCTTGCCCTTGTCCGCCACCATCTTCGCAGCGCTTCAACAAAGACTAAATTGCTTCTTTGCTCTGTGATTACCTAGGAAGCTAGAGAAAGCCAAAGTGGGTAGGGTTTTGGTTTGGGAACATGGATACAAAAGTAGGCGAGTTTTAGGGTTTTGGGAGTCTAAAATCTGCTAAATCGTCTACCCATGAGATGTGTACGTATCCAGCCAATCAGAACGCGGCACGTTCGTTACTAAATAGTAGAAGGGTAAATTACACCGACCTTCCCTAAAGTTTACCTTAATTACAATGACTCCCCTATAGTTTAAAAAATAACACTTCCCTCCCCTACTTTTGAAAATAATACATAGGTTTCCCCTTTTTGTTAAAAAAACATGAACAACGTTAAGTTGACAGTCAAAATGACCATAATACCCTTGAACCATATTGTAGAAAAACACAAGTGACCTTTAATAGAAAAAAAAACCCCTCTCATTTATTTCATTTTATGGGGTTCACAATTAGAAAATCGAATAGAGGAGGAGAGTGAGCAACGAAGGAATAGAGGAGAATATAATGGCTTAGGGATTTTTTCAAAGATCTGCTTCGATTAGCTTTCTCAATGCAGTGTGAAAAATTTTAATATGTTTGTTTTGTTATTTACGGCTTCCAAGAAAGTTCTCTACCAAATCTGTTCAACATTAAAATTTCTGAAGAAAAAAATATATATATGCAATACATGGGTTTAGGGTTTAAGAATGAAGGATTTTTTAGAGTTTTGGGAGTTTTGTTAGTGTAATTTTGAACAAATCTTTATGATTTCAGAGTTGTATTTTTTAGTATTTAAGGTTTTTCTAGTTTTTGATCAAATAATTGTAATTTTTTGGATTATTCAACATTATTACTTACTAGATTTGAAGTGTAAGAATGTTTGTTAGATTTTATTGAATTGTTATTGATTTAGGATTTTTGATAGACTTTGTTCAATGTTGTATTATTTGTTTAATGTTGTAAAAAATATATACAAAAATTGTAATTTTTTTGGATTATTAAACATTATTGTGCATTATTCATTATTATCAATTTGTTTATCTAGTTGAATCGTGCTAGCTTTCGAATTAGTTGAATCTGTTTTGCTAAAATTCATTGAATTGGTTCAATTTGTTTATCTGTTCAAATTTGTTTATCGGTTCAAATTAAATATTTATCTATTGAAATTAGCTATCAATCAAATATTGTAATGTTTTGGATTATGATTTTTTTTTTTTTTTTTTAGATTTTATTCAATGTGTATTGATTTAAGGTGGTTTTGTTTTCTATTTAATTACTATTTCAGCTATGGCTGCATTTTCTTCATTTGATTTAGTCATCCATTATAAGGGTAAAGTGGACAGGGTATACAATGTAGATCCTGATATGTATTGTCATGTTGATCTGTTGAAGGATGTACATGATTCAGTATTTAGTAACATAGGTTTGATTGAGGCTCTTGCAATTTATTTATATTGTGATATACCTGGTACTGATAAGAGAAGAATGTTACAAAATGATCTTGATGTACTAGATATGTTTTACATACAAAGTGTGATTAGAACAATTAACTTATATGTAGATGTTGTTCATTCTATTGGGTTTGAGAGTGGACAAGTTAATGCTGGAGATGAGGATGCTGCAAAAATAGATTAATCAGTATAGGATGGTGATGGTAATGGTAATGTAGAGGGGGATGATGAGTACTACATTGATAATTTTGTTGGGTTTAGTGATGAAGACAAAGATTGAAATGAAAATGTGGATGTTGAAAATGAATCTGATATCACAAGTAGTGAATATGTCTTAAGTGAAGATAATGGCTTAGGTGAAGATAATGGTGCACTTAGTGATTATCGATCAGGAGATGATATAACGATATATGATGTTAGTACTGATGATGACTTGAATGATGAACTTATTTTCAGACCTAAGAGAAGGGATTCCAAGAGAAAACAGTTTCATTCTCTCTATGATGATAAAGAGCCATATTTGAATCCAAAAGGGGAAATAGTATTGGAAAATTGGATGATATTTGCAGATGTAAACAGTTTCAGAGCTATACTGAAAGATTACACTCAAAGCAAAAATATTTGATGGCCAATGGTGGGATTATACATCCAATATCAGACCACACTTTGTGGACACTGATAGATGAGAAGTCTTTGCAGCTACCACTTCTAAAAAGATTGGTAAGCAGACCAAAGAATTTAGGAAGAGGGCTGCTCATAAGCCTCCTGCAGGCACAAGTCAGGCTAAGAGGGCTTTTACTTTGAAATACAATTGGTGCAAGAAATTTGGGCACAATAAGAAGACATGTTAGAGAGGTCTAATCAGGGGTAGCAGAGAAAGCAACATTTCATCTGGCAGAGGCATAGGTTCTTCATCTAACAGAAAAGTCAAATCTATTGACAGAGGAAGAAGCACTTCATCAGGCAGAGGAGGCACTTCATCTAGGAAAGGCAGAGGCAGAGGTAGATGAGGCATTTCATCTGTAAGCATTTTTTATTTTCTTTGCGTTCATAATTTTTTTTATTTTTTTATTTTTTTATTACTATTGTTATTACGGTACTAACTAATTTTGGTTTGTAAGTTATGTACTAACTTTGGTTTGCAACTTAGGATATTCCAAGCGGAAGAGGAAGAGGCAGAGGCAGAACTTCATCTGGAAAAGGTATTTTAGCTGAGAATGTGACGTCCCAAGATTTGAGGACATCATAATAAGAATTAGAACTTAAAATCAATTTTGTTAATAACTAACCCCTCATCAATGTTGTCACCAATATTACTAGCATTAATTAACAACCCAGAAATTAAAAGTTCTTAAATTACAACTCCAATAAAAACATAAAACTTAGTCTTAGTACATAAAAACAACACGAATATAACATTAAAAAAAAAAAAAAACTAGAAACTTAAAAAAATGGTTCATGGATCTTGGGCACTCTTCAAGCTAACCAAGGCTGAGTGTCGCCTTGCAAGGCCTCGGTGTTTCCTTCGGTTACTTCGGCACCTAGCATAAAACGCCAGATCAACGAGAATGCCAGTGAGTGATGAGCTCAATAAGATACTACACCCCAAAAATACCCACCCCAATAATAATACTCACAATTTATGAATAATGTGTAGTAACAAAATAACAAGTAACATTTAGTAAGCAAAAAAAAGAATGTTATCAGTTGAAATAATAACAACAGTGTAGACACCCCATTTTTGACCGACCTTAAGACTCAGACGTCATCGATTGAGCGCTCGGTGATTGCGCATGTTGTGCTCGTTTCGAGGTTTCGGAGTTCTTGGCTGAGAGCCTCACCTCCGGACCTCAGGACCCTTTTGTACTTTGACTCTGTCCGCGTACCAAGTCTTGTTTTCTCTTCCCGGAGGGAGGGAGAGGTCTTGTAGACCATCTCTCAGTGGTCGTAGACTACTTTTTGTGGTCGTAGGTCACTGTTCTTGTTTGGAGACTAGTTTCCAATTTTTGGAGCTGTCGGCCGCGCACCTCGGCTCGGGACCACTTAACATTCTCCGTTTGGCACGGTTTTTGAAACACACCTTGTTTCCTCTGTCTAGAGGGACACTGTGGTCCAAGAGACCACTTTTGTGGCCGTACGCCACTTTTGGTGCTCAACAGCCAGTTTTCGGGGCACCCGGCCACGCGCTTTGCCCCCCGAACTCTCGTTTGGCATCCATGTTGGTTCATTTTTGGCATAAACCTTGTTTTCCTTGTTTGGGAGGTGGTACAAGGGTGGGAGACCACCTTTTCCCCTTGGAGATCACTTTCTCCCCGCCAGCCGGTTTTTTTGTCGGGAAGCTGATTTTCTTGGTCTTTGGGCCACATTTGTTGGTCTCCCACCACACCACTAGCTTGCTTTCAAAGTGGAGACCACCATATGGAGCCACCGACCACTTTTTTGTATGGGAGACCACCTATCCTGGTCAGCCGACCAGGGGAAGTAGTCGGCCAACCACCTTTTCTGATCTACCAGCTCCCTCTTGTTTTGTATGTTTAAGTAGGTGCTAGCTGTGCCAGCTAGAAGGCACAGACTGTATCCTCCATACACGTGTATGGAGGATCTTGAGCCTTGTTTTTTTTAGCTTCTTGAAGAAGCTTTGGCCTTGTTTGTCTATAAGAGAGGCCCTCCCCCTCCTTGAACCAGGTTCAAAATTTCTCTAAGGCAAAACAATACATATCTCTCTATATCTCTATATTTTGGCTTATAAGGTGCATTGTTCTTGACCCTTTTACACTACACCTCATAGCCATACATTTCCACCATTGATTTGAGGTTCTTGGAGGTTGTTTTCAGAGGTTAAGGAGCTGGTTTTTGGTCCCAAAGTTTGCTGGTTTTGCTGAGCTTCAAGGGTAATCACTTTTCCCTCTTTTAAGCATTATTTTGATCCTTCTCTTAGCCTCATTTGCATGCTTATTTTAGTTTTGTTGTCAACTGAAAAAAGGTTCATATTTAAGTGATTTTCATGTTTGTTTAAGGCTCTTTTGGTGTTGGGGGTCATCTACCCTCTTGCATGCTCTATTTAGCCTTGTTTTAAGCCATGCCATGAGACCTTTGTATTGAGATTTGCTTGGCCCTTTAGCCACTGAAATCCAGTGGATTTTTAGTGGTTGGTATGTGGTTTTGAGGGCCAAAATCAGAGAGGGGTGACCCTCTCTCTTTTGGCCTTGTTTGCTTGCATTTTTGGCTTTCCATGGGAGCATATATTTCCACACTTCTTAGCCTTGGTTCAGGCCCTTTTTAGTGACTTTTAGGACCTGCCTAGACTCTGTCTATGGCTGGTTTGGTCACCTTTTGTTTTCCTCTTGCATGTGTAAAACAATCCCTTGCATAGCCTATCAAAGTAACACCTCATTCTTCCATGTATTGGTCATGTTTTAGTGGGTTTTTGGCCATCATTTGGCATGCCATGATTCTGTTTTTGGCTGGTTTGGTAGCCTCTCATATGCTTCACATGCTTGTAGTGTAAATCATGTTCACTAGCTTATAATGCATGTTGTTTTGGCCCTCTATGCTAGCATATTTTGGCCATGCTCCAAACTGATTTTTTTCATATTTTGGGCTGCCTTAGCTCTGTTTTGAGGTACCTTGGTCGAATGATGCTTGCCACGTATGGTTGTAGT